AGCAACTCGGGCTGTATAGTTAGACCTTTCAAATCGGCACTGAAAGCGGTATGCGAGTTTGGAGCCTGGACGGTCACATGCGTGCTCTTCAAGCGACACCAACGCAGGAACTTGCGCTAGACTGGCGCACGCGTGGATTTGCCAAAGTTTTTGGGGGGAAGAAGGAGAGTTCGCCCTTGCTGTGTGACTGCAGCCATAAAACCATACTGGCGGTTACTCAAGCAAAAACCAAGGGTCACTGAAGATAGGTTGTCCATCGCAGACGACGATGATCACAGCTGTCCCTCGGGGTGGTCGCATTCGCGACTTGCGCTGCATTTATCCAGCTTCGCTCAACCCAAGCCCACCCGTGCAGCATTGCTTGCCTCGAGAAATGTTTACCTAAATTCGGAAATGTGTTTTCATTTGAAAAGGATTACTTAGGCAGGATTGCAATACTAATCAGCATGCGACATACTTCCAAAATATTTCAGTCAAGTCAAGTTGTCAGCTTTTGGGCGAACTTCCTTCCGACTACCTGCAAAAACTACGCTCTGAAAAAAATGACTACCTTGGTGGTATACCATTTCCGTCGGTTTTCGGTGTCCTTACAGATTAAAATGTATTTTGTAGACATAAAGTACAAAATTAATTTTTCATATGCTCATTTTGTAGCACCTTGGCGTGAATGAAATATCTGAAGATTATGTTGCCTAATTACTAACATTACTACCCTACCTAATTGATTCTTTTCGACGGGAAATGCATTTCAGATTTTGGGCTAATATTTCATGAGGTAGCATATCTACTTTAAACCACATCAGACATCATCATCTCACTTTCATTGCCAGCTTCATGACTTGGTCACTTGGTCTGTTTGCGTATGACCGATTGGGGATCCACGTCTGCAAACTCCAAGTGTTTGTCGTATTCAGACGAGCACTCACGATTCATGGAAAATTGGGAATGCCAAAAAATGGCCTCCTTGGTAGCCGTTTGTAAGACTGGAAGAGCATAATAATCGATCGCTGGAACAAGGGCTTTATTCGCCTGACGCTTCGGATTCTCACTTGAACCCAGCCTCAGAGACAGTGGCAGAAAAGGGTGACTCATGCACTGGAAGTTGCAGTATTTATAGGATGCAGTCGCTATGCTACCGCATACCTACAACAATTAGCCGTGCTCCCCTTCATCAAGGATTGCTGCCCGCTGGTGCGCTAATTGCTTGATGGCTGGCATGCAAATTGTTAATTGCCGAAATGTCATTACCCGTGTTGGATGCTGGCATGATGATTGCTCGGCCATCTGGCTCACCGGCTTGCGTGCTCCCCGAGTGGTCAATTACTCCTACCAGCCTATGCCTCAGCACGGAATATGGAGCGTGGATGTCGTTGCACTTGTTGATAGACTGAGGTGCCGTTTACCATGACTCGAGCAATAAGCGGCTCACGTGATTATCCCCTCTAGCGAGAAGTTCGGCCTCATCGAACTTAAATGTGAGGCCGGGTTTCGTCGAATGGACCGCGACCTGAGAGTTAGCGTCATTTCTCCGTACCGCTGTCACGTATTCGGTAATTCGCGTCCGCAGCAGTCTTCCAGTTTCTACGACGTAGTCGCTTTGTCCGCAACCGCACCAGATCCGGTAAACGACTCCAGATGTTTCCTGCCGTGGCAGTGGGTCTTTTGGTCTCATCACCTGACGCCTCATGGTGGCCTCTGGTCTGTGTGCAACTCCAACTCCAAGTGGTGCAAGAAGGCGGGTAACGGCCCCGGAGACGTTCTTGATGTACGAGATCGCTCGCCAGAATTTGGAGTCGGCACGATTTTGTCGCTCGTCTTGTTTGCGTATGTACCGGTTGACGAAGTTGCGCGGGTAATCATTTTCGCTGAATACCCGTCGGAGGTATTTTATTTCGGCAATCTTGTGTTCCGGTTCACTACAGTGCGTCTCAACGCGCCAATATAGCGTTCTTACGCAACTGCGTTTGTGGCTGATTGGGTGGTTACTGTTGATGTTCAGTATTTGCATCGTATTTGTCGCTTTCCTGAACACCTTGATCTTTAGGCCACCACAATCTTTGCGACAGGCGAGGACATCAAGGAATGCCAGCTTGTTACTTTCTTCCTCCTCCATCGTAACTTGCATGTCCGGGGAGACGCTGTTAAGACGTTTATTAAACGTTAACATCTGATCCCGTTTGATGACGACGAAGGTATCAATAGAAGCGAAGAGCCGAGTCCCAGGAAGTAGTCTTGAAGAAGGAGACACGATCGCCGGGACAAGAGCTTTATTAGCCTGACGTTTCAGATTCCTACTCGAATCCATCATCAGAGACAAAAGAGCAGAAACGGGTGGTTGTTGCACAAGGGGCTGCGGTATTTATAGGATGCAGCAGCCATGCTACCGCATACCTATGAACGTTCACGGCTTCCCCCTTCATCCAAGATCGTCGCACGTGGTGTGATCACTGCTTGATGGCCGACATTCGAGTCGATAATTGCTGCAATTTCATCACGTGCGTTGGATGTTGGCGTGATGATTGCTCGACCATCTGACGCGTTGACCCGGATGTTGGGAAGAGTGTTCACCAGTGCGCTCCCCGCGTGGCCAATTACTCCGCCTAGACGAAGTCTCAGCACGCTGTATTGAATGGGAAGATCGTTGCACTTGTTGATGGACTGGGGGCCAGTAAACCATGATTCCAGTAGCTCCCGGCTCACTCGGTTGTCACCTCTTGCGAGAATTTCGGCCTCATCGAATTTAAATGTGTGGCCGGATCTCGTCGAATGAGCCGCAACTTGAGAGCTGGCGTCATTTCTGTGCACCGCTGCCGCGTGTTCGGCCATTCTCGTTCGGAGCTGTCTTCCGGTTTCTCCGACGTAGTTGCTTTCTCCGCAACTGCACCAGATCCGATAAACGACTCCAGACGTTTCTAGCCGTGGCAGTGGGTCTTTCGGTTTCATGATCAGACGCCTGATGGTTGCCTCCGGTCTGTGTGCCACTCCAACCCCAAGTGGTGCGAGAAGGCGGCTGACAGCTTCCGGATGCTGACATTTTTACGAAAATCTCATAATCCGGATCCAGATGGGGTCTCGGTCAAAATTTTAAAGACTGACTAAAATAAAATATTTCCGTACCTCTAGTGTAAGATATCCAACCTCGTTCTTGAAATTGAACCCCTTCACTGTTCGTGGAAGTGATCACGCGTCTTGATTCCCTCGAAAGAAACCGTTATATATCATTCGACGACTTTCGACAAATAACCACCGCCTCAGAAGTTCTGAAACACTTACAGACCCTGATCGATGACAAATGGATGTGTCACTTTTCAGATAATAACCTACTAAGTGCGGGACAGCATGGATTTTTAAGAAGTCCCTCTCGTGACACATGCCAGCGTTCCTTTCTTATTACATTTTACAATTTACGGACAATGCTTTCATCCTTCGCACAGTCCATTTCGATTTCGCCAAGGTTTCTGGTCTTGTTGAGCATGTGTTTCTCCTCCTGAAGCCTTCATCTTTGGGAGTAATGGCAAACTTCTGAATTTCATGTCGTCTGTATGGGTTCTCGCACAGAGCGCGTTAAGATTTCCTGTGTTATCCCCAACTCCACCATGGGCGAACGCATTGCAAAGCCCACTGTTGCGACTGCAGAAAAGAAAGATGTATTCATAAGACTGCCTTTTGCAGGGGACGCAGCGAGCGAAATAGTCAGACGGCGCTTAACTACAGCTGTCACGAGAGCATTCCCCGCGGCGAATTTACGCGTATGTTTCACAAACTCTCCCCTCCTACGTTTGGGAGGTAAAGACAGACTACCGTTGGAGGCCACATCAATGTGCATCTACTCATTCACTTGCTCCTGTGGAGCAGGATACATCGGCCGTACAACGAGACGCCTGGTAAAGAGGGTGCGTGAACATATGCCCGCCTGGCTAGGCAGAGGTGAGACCCGATCGGTTTCGAGTTCTATTCTCGCACATTTACTCGATACGGATCACCGAGTCGATGCCAAGGAAGCATTTCAGGTTGTCTATCGGACACCAACAAGCTTCTCTAAAGGCCTACGCCAACGGATACTAGCAACGGCCGAGGCAGTGGCGATACGGCTAACGAATCCGGTGCTATGCTGTCAGAAAACCCAAACACAAGCGCTCTCTCTGCCGTGGCCAACGCCAACCTCACGTGATGACGACATGCCGCCTCAAATCCCTGATTACAGTGATGGGCACTCCGTGTACTCAATCCAAGAGCATCACTTAAAAACTCGCTTACCCCCCTCCCCTAGCCCTAAGGACCAAAACCCGCCGACCTCGTCATGCGATCGGCGTGGGAAAGATGAGTGTTAATGACATAATTGACCTTGAGACACCTATAAACACTGTTAATTTTGTACACTTTCACTCCTTCATGTAATTGTATTGGCCTGACGAAGAATTACTGAAAACACGTGTTAGCCAACTTGACTTTTCAAGTGTAACACGGGAATATTTGCGGAACTGAAATATATATATGTAGCTCGTAAATCCCTGCTGCCCCCGCGTCGTAACACCGACATTCAATCGCCCCTAACATGTGTCAGCGAACGTTTTGGAGGCAAATCGGACTTATTGGACAGATTCGGACCTACTGCAGCAGCCAGACGACACCGACGGATGCCTGTCCGTCCACATCTGTCCCGCCCCCAACGTCGATAATCAACCATAACCGCGCTCCTGAGCCCTCACTTCTGCTGCGGAGGCTTCTGCCGCCGCCGCCGCCGCCACTGCCCACAATCCTGACGCACGATCAAATACCAACCCCAACATTGCCAACACCAGTGATGTGGTATCGGTCCAAACCAGTCCACGTGGCGATCGCACATTTAGCTCGCACATCGACCTGGTCCGTCTTTTGTGAATCCATCGCACAGACACTGGCGAACCAGTCACTTGGCACCCACATACACTGGCTGCATCCGTCTCCACTGTCGATACTGCCAACGCACATCAACTAACCGCATGGGCTTGTTGAGTCACATGGGCATCCACGACAGCGGAATTCACCACTGTCTCGACACACCTAGCACATACCGCACACCCACCATGGGTTGCCTAATCCACACCCCATCGTTCTGCACGCCCATCGCCGGCAGACCCTCCACCACCACCGCCAGCACCACCACCACCACCGCCGCCGCCGCCGCCGCCGCCACCACCACCATCACCACTGAAACCGACGCTGACGCTCCCGACCTTTCCTGCCAACGCCGTCCGCGTACATTCATCCCACGCATCGTCCTAGTCGGTCACTTGCGAATCCATCTCACAGAGACCGGAGCACCAAAACCCACCCACCGAATACGTCTTTAACTGCCGTCACTGCCCTCGCATGTCCGGCCACCGCATAGACCCCTAGGCCACATGTGCATTTATAAAAACCTGCGACAGACAACAATTAGCCACACCGTATCCTTATACCTTCTCCTACCAGCACCAGCACCACACATGAACATCACCCACTGCCTCACAGGGCAAGCACTCAATTGGCACCCCTCGCCTAGGTAGGAAGTATGCTCCTCGGCTGCTGCGCGGTGACCTCATCCAAACCTACCGGATCGTCAGAGGCCGCGTGTGTGCCCTAGAGTTTGATGACTTCTTCGAATTGGCTGCGACGCACCGTCTGTGTGGCAATCCCCTTACACTGCAGAGGCAGTTGGTGCACAGGACTGTCTGCCGGAACTCCTTCCTGTAGAGGATCGTTGGAGCATGGAACGGCCCCCTCCCCCGACGTTATGGTCCTTTCATAAACTGTTGAGATATTTAAATGCAAACTGGATACTCATTTTCTTGAGGAACGGCTCTGCACGTAAACAAGATTGCGTCAGTTGCGGCAATTTGCGTCTGCCTCACACACATCGATGACTTTACAATTTCCGAAACTCTATGGTTATATTGCTATATTTGGCTATGAATAGGGAGCTCAGGGGCCAAGGCTTGTTTCGCTTAATCAATCGACTTAATTGCAGATTAAAGCGATTGCCCAAAAGTTCTTCGCTTGCTCTTCAGCGGATTGTTAGACGACTTGGCGGGGTGGAGCGTTCAAAAACGGCCGGTTCAGACCTCCGTTGACTAAATTATTTCATAGACATTATGTGGGACTAGTTCCCGATGGTTATGAAGGTACTGGACACTACTAATGTGTGCTCACAGGAAGCTTTTGAACTGACATCACACCTGCCGACTGATACATTAGAACTGACGACAAGATAGTTTGTAGGAATAGCATGCTACCTGATCAGTACGGGCGCCTTACCTAGTATTTTGCTAACTTTTTAACATTTTTGATTACTTTGATTGCACGCAACAGTCCTCTTTGGTAAAGTTGAACAAGGCCAAGATTGGCGGCACGCTCAGGAGCGCATTCAACGCTAAATCATTTGCATTATAATATAACTTATTAATGATTTTTAGAAAGCGACTTAAGCCCTTTCACCCTCCTGAACAGTGCTCGTGAATCCTAAGAACGCACGGCCCGCATAGTTGGCGGCTTGAGAGCACTGCAGGGAGGAAATGGTCGTAGTGGTATAATGATAACTTTAATAGTTGATATTCATCCAACTTTTTCTTGCGCGTTTGTAAAGCATACCGAGGCAGCTCACTTGCAGAAATGCTAAGCGGGAACATACGCTCGGCCTGGATGAAGCATTGTACCGTAGAGCAGAGGTGGTATGCATTCCGAGACGATATAATGAAAAAAGGGGAGGTTCTTCGGAAAAATCGAGTTGTACTCGTGAAGTTTCGAAGTGGTGACACCAACCCGTCGTCAGACGAAATGAAGATAAAGGAGAAAGTGAGACAGTCACACTAGACTGGTTGACGCGATAGGACAAACATTGGCGGGCGAACAATTAGCGTGTGAGGAGTGATGTGGGCAGGGAGTCACGCTGGGTTCTGAGCCGGGAGGGGGAAAAGGGGGGGGGGAGAGGAGGAACAGTTACGGCTCCCCGTGTTGGAGGGAAGGGAGAATAGTAGGTTGGCAGAACTGCGGGCGCCTGGATTGGCGGCCACTGATGCGGCGTGGGGCTGGGCTTAGTGAGATGTGATCTTTGCCCTCATAATGGGCGTCTAGGTCAACGTGACAGTCGATGTTGTACTATTTCAGTGGGTAAGCGATATCTTTACTTGTAAGTCAAACTACCTGACGCTGTTTTAAATCCTAGGAAGTGAATGACAACAACGGGAATACGGACGACTCATACGACACCCTGCCGTCGCGAGAGCTGCTGCGCGTTTAGCGTAATAAGCATTCTTCCAACTGACTTTTCCCATAGAGTTCAACGAGCCTCATCCCAACGACCGCTTAAAATACTCGTACAGAGCCATGGTGCTGATGACTCGACGAGTAACATGGACGTCTGGAAACCCAGACCTCCTTATTGAAGGCAATCGCCGACGCCATGGTCGCTTACGGGCATTGGAGGAGCGCGGTACTCAATGGCAACCCACTGATAACTTGGCTACCCCGCTGACCAGAAGCCCGTTATTGAGGCCGATGAGGACCGCTGAGGGAATCCGATCCCTACCTAGAACATTAGGTCTCCTTTCCCACCTGCCTAGGCGGAAACAATTGGGACGACTTTGTAAAGCACATCTTCTCCATGCTTTTCGAAGACGAAACTAGCCTTCACGTTAACTTTAAAAGACGGAAGTTAAATGGACGTCTCAGTTGGTCGGCTGGATTTCAAGTCATGTTGTGCAAGAAGTCATACATTGTCTCCCTGTCCATGTGTAGAAGTGTTCGCTGTTTGAAATACCACTGGCGCTGCTAGATTATCAGACCTGGAGTCCGCGTTCACAGAGCGACTCAAAAGGTCGCTGGACAATTACCCAACAAGTTCAGAAGAACGATAGCAGATCAAGCTGGACAGGCGAGTGAAATTTACAGTTTAAAAACTAATCTTGTCCTATGGAAAACATTCCCCCATCTTCGACGGAGGATCGCCATCCGTTCTCACACCCACCAACAATGTATTAATAATTTTCAACCAATTATTTCAGTAAACTTTTCCTTTTTGATAGTCTTCAAAATAGTCGACCGCCGTTGTCATAGTCGTTATTTGGCTGATCAATAAAGGCGTACAGAAGTCGGTTAAGAAAGCCAGGAACAGATTACAAAGGAAATCTGAAAGCATTAAAGGAAATTATGGGTACTGCGTTACGTAAATGAAGCGTTCGAGGTGCCTACCATCTCGCAACCGCCATTTCCCGGTAATCTCGAAAACTAGATATCTACTTGATATCGATTCTATATGATTTGCTACAAGGGATATGTGAACTACCCACAGCTTATTTCCATGAGGCGTTGCTTCGGACAGAATTCCGTGGCCGAAGGCCCAAGATTGCTAAAAAAACGCTCAGACTTCAGTCTGGATTCAAACGATGACTTCGTAAAATTCGAATCGATCGCTGAAGTGCTCATCAGGAATGCACAACGCAATGAACAAAACAGTTAAATGCGTCAGGACTTGCGCTGAAGTGGACACGAATAGGAAATAATTAGCGCAGAGCGGAGAGAAAATTGTTACGCAAAACACAACGCGCCAAAATTGTGGCCGTCATAGTGGTTAAGAAAAAGTAATCAAATAAAGAGTGACCAACAGTTCGATATCCTTGGATGGTGCGCGCGTCCAATCGCAATTAAAACCGCAGCTGAGTTTTGTACGCCCTACCAGCCCCATCAAGCCCCTCGAACCTCAAAGGTCTTGGGGGTGTAATGGAGGGGGGGGGGACTGATTGTGGATCGATGGCGGGGTTTTCGATACTCCGCCTTCTCTAGCCCCCTCATGACAAAAAATGCGCATCCGATCACCTCATTCTTTCACTTTTTTGCCCCCGTTTTACGATGATTACTTTGGCCTGCCTATCATATCGCTTTAGCTGTGACACGTAACCCGCCATCCTACTACGTGTTCCAGCGGTGTGGAGTCAAAATAGTGCTCCAGCCCATAGCCCACTCTATTACGGTATCGGACAGTAAACGTAAATTAATGAGAAGAGTTGGTTTGTTGATAGCGAACAAGGCATAAGACTTTTAAAGGAAGTATGTGCAGTTATGACAGTTAACTTTCACGAATAGTTAACTGAAGAGTTAAAGTTGTCCGCGACTGGTTTCAGTAAAAGTTGTGTTTAGTACTAAGTAAAGGAAAAGAAAGTTAAAAGATACTTCAGAATAGTAACAGGAAGCGACAAATTAGTGCGTGTTCCGAAATGTACAGCACAGATATATGTGCAATCACATAAAATAGTAACAGAAATCCGGTAATAGGATTCTGTCTCCTTGAATGTTTCACTTCAAGGAAGTATAATTTACGATTTAAAAACTCTAGTTTTGTGCCATTAGCCAACGTAGGCATACAGTGTTTAAGAAATGGGCATTTCACGGTCTACCTTATGCTTTTGTACACGAAATTATAAACCAATACCTTAAAAACCGAGAAAAATTATACTACTCGGATAGTTAATGGGCATGTTAACAAGTGCTACAGCTCTGTTTAATTTATTCATTTCAACCTTCCCTATGGCATTAAATGTAGAATAAGTAGCGAAAATGGGATTAGATATCGTACAGTTTAAAAGTCGTACCAACCGTGCCGTCAGACGGCGATAGTATAGGAATGACTTCGGTATTGGTGGTCCCTTTTAACACCTAAATGTATTTTTGTGAACAAATGAAATTAAAATGATGTACTTTCCCGGTGATCTCTCGGCGTCTAGCTCTGCCGGCGTATCGGTCTCTCGACCCGCGAAACCAATCGACAGCACTTTTTCGAACATGCTCGCCGGGCAGCTACTTAAGATAGTATTTTGCCGAATGGCCTCCACACTGTTACGAAAAAATAGACACACGACTGAGAATGAGCTTTGTTCTGTAGGACCACCCCAGCAAAAGCTGAGGCGCAGGAGCGGAGTCCGCGGCATTTTTTTGAAAATAATCAGGAATTAACAAAGTGAAAATGGTAATACTTGATGCGCCTATACAACAAGTGAGTCGGCCAAATTTTAATACCTGACTCCAGACAAAAACTGTGCGTTCGCGAGCGTTGGTTGCACGCATTAGGAGAAAAATTCTGAGCAAAAGTGATAAAATTTAGTTCTAAGAAATGATAAAACTAACAAACCCAATTCAGGTGGGCAATGGGAAAGCGCAGAAGTTAGGGTACAACATAAAAATAGGTAGGATATAAGTTTTCATTGGGGAAATGCAGAATTTCCAAACCTATCCGGTAGAGGATGTCAAGGAGTGTGTACTTCCTCAAAGAAGATGGCTGGAACAGGCCAAAGTATTAATTGCTGAAATGAGACTGTGTCAT